ATGTGTGTGTGTGTGTGTGTGTGTGTGTGTGTGTGTGTGTGTGTATGTGTGTGTGTTTGTGTGTGTGTGTGTGTGTATCAGTGTGTATATATCAGTGTGTGTAAGAGGGGACAGTGATGAATACTAATATTTTGGATAAATTTACAATACCGTTTTCCAATACAGTCTTTATAGTGAGACCACCCCAGAATCCACCATCAACGTTTTGTATGAAAGTCAGTCGCAACAGTGGGAAGTCTGTGACGTTCTGCCTGAAGATCAAGGGTGCACTGGGCCAATGTTTCATGTCTGTGATATATATATATAGAAGTGCATTAGGAGTAGTAGATGCTGTGCTACTGGGATTTGTTGCTTGCTTTGAGATTTTCGAAATTCTTCCAACCCCCCCCCCCCCAAAAAAAAATAAAAAAATCTCTTTCTACCCTTCTTTACATTTCAGCCTATTCTGTTGTTTTTTTCAAGGTTACTTGCATTTCATCCTCATTGCTTTCCCCTATCTTTCTTTCTTCCTACTTACACTAACAGATTATTTTCTTCTTGTTAATAAAGGAGTTTGTTGATATTATGGTTGTTGAATTTTTCCTGTTAGCTTTGGCGCTGCACTCCAAAAATGTACAACTGCTCTCAGAATACTTTTTCAATCTTTAGATAACCAGTATGATTATGGATTGTTAACAAGTAATTAAAGATGACAATGGAAAAACGATCAAAATCTCAAACTGTATTTCTTTAAATTGTTGTCTTAACAGTGCGCTGTAGGCTCCATAGTTTACTCTCAAAAGCCTGTCGGGGCCAGGCAAAGGCTAAGTATTCTTTCTGAACAAAGGTACAATTGAAAAAAACCATGAAGAGAAAGTATGTTTTGAACTTTAACATGTGGTTTATGTTTAGATCTCAATCAAGAAATGTGACTTTGATCTTGTTTCCATTGTGGTCTTCGAATGTGTTTGCATACAGATGTCTCTTTCAAGGATATGAATAAAGTGGATATTTATTTTGTCCTTTCTAGTTTATGAATGTTGTTTTCTTGTTCCCAGATGTTAGATCTGCTTTTGATGATCCAATTCAAGTTTGTGTAATAAAATGTTGCTCTACATCATACAACAAATTTCCCTTGTTCTTGATGTTGTTATCATTATGTGTGTAAAGACACCACAGGATTATGCATGTACTACATTGTACATGTATTTGAATTGACCTCCTGATGTGACTGCTAGATCTGGTGTGGGCGAACTGTGGCTCATGAGAAATTTCAGTCTGACCCACGAGTAGATCCAGTGATTTAGAAAAGATCTGTTTTTTTTTTTTTTAGATGAGTTGATATTAATAAAAACAAAAATGACTTGGAACTTAGAATTAATTAATAATAGATTCAGTTTTTAGCCCAGATGGAAACAATAGGTGAAATATTTTATCTCATGAAGTGCTTTAGTACATGTTGTACGGCAATCCATAACCCCTCTTTCTGTGGGCAAGATCGAACGATACATATTTAAAAATGAGTTCTAAACCTATCAATCGGGGTCTATTGAAATAGAGATTTGAAATCCTTATGTATGTAACAGTAATCGTAGATGCTTTGCACCCCCATCGATGCAATCTTGATCGTTTAGGAGGTAGGCAGCTTTGACTGAAGTGGCTTTAGGCCATTCCCAAAGGGGGGACATTTCTCGTTCAAGTCTAGTGCACAGTAGAATTGTAAATGGGCTGATCTAATAATGTCATGCTCACAACTGCCTGAACTACAAATGGGAACTGCTGCTTTTTCTTTCCTAATCCTTATTATTGTCATTTTTTCCTCTACTTCTCTTGTATGTTTGTCACACTCTTGTGACCCACTATTTCCGGGATGCCTTGATAGTCGAAGCAGACTTTGTGCTGTTGAAGCTAGAGAGGTGAGCAGAGTAAGTCTGATTCCCTCTAAGGACTCTCTGTTGACATCCACCCCTTGGCGCTCATATGACCTTATGCAGTTGCGAGCGCCGTAAAAATCTCTACTATACTGACCCTGTCTGTCGGGGCCTACCCGGGCTGGGAGGGATACAACGTCTCGGTAGACAGACTGCGAAATTGAAATACATGTACACGCTAAAAATTCTCCCCTCACGAAAATCAAACAAGTGTTTTTGAGTGCATAGACCAAGCACGCAACTGATAAACCACCTACGCAAGTCTCAGAATCCTCTAAGCAACGTAACTAACGAAAATACGGTTTAATAATGATAATAATAATAATAATAATAACAATAATAATAATATTATTGTTTCTGTGCAATGAAATCAAGCACATTTCAATTTTTGGGCACGAAATTATGTATATTGTTGTCCTTTTTAAGATTGTTCGTTTGTCTTGCTTCTGATGAAAAAAAATATACCAGTCTACCTTGAATACAAGTAGAGACATTAGCGATTGAAGATGGTGGGGGTCGCCTTGTTTGTGAGGAAAAATGAGCGAGTAAATAGCTACCACAGTTTGGAGTTCTTGGGAACTGAAAATTCAGTTTTGTGCCTTTGAGTTTGATCAACGTTTTTAGTTAAAACCCGCACAGAAGTATGTTTTTAAATGGAGATAAAAGATGCTGAGAATTTTTTTAAAAGTTAAGGATAAAAAAAATAGAGCTGAGATGTCGGTTTTTTTTCAATTTCATTTATTTTTGCGATCGCCTGCCTGATTTCACCACTATGCCACTCAAATATAATGACAATGCAGTTTGATGATGATATAATGATAATAATAATAATACGAAGAAGAAGAAGAAGAAGAAGAAGAAGAAGAAGAAGAAGAAGAAGAAGAAGAAAAATATTATTATTATGAAGAAGAATTAGATGGCATACTAATATAGTTACAAGTACTAGTACAGTTCACAACCTGACAAGAAAGTAGGCTCTGCGCCTTACAAATCAATTTTTTAAATTACCGCGATAGACTCTTTAACCCTATCCGTACGCCCTGGGGTAATTTTGTGCCCCCGGGGTTGTATTCTTCACATTTTGAAATACTTTTAGTGCGAAGATCTTTTTAAAACTTCCTATATTTCTCAAAAAATCATTTTGACACACTGACAAAGCGTACCGATCGGATTAACGAGTAAATCTCCCCACGTCGTATCGATAAGATAGTAAAACACGACGTACGGATAGGGTTAATATTCTGAAACGTTCTCAGCTTCTACTTCTTGAGAAGCATTCAGTTCACGCTGCCATTTTCCGGGCTCTCAAACACTAAACTACTGTACCTGAAGTAATGATCTTTCAATTCCCTTAGTCAGGTACACACTCTACTTAGGTTTAGAAGGGAAGATTTGTATAAAGTAAAATGCCGAATAATATACACGTACAGCGTCGGGCCAGTATCTGGATTCGAACCCACGACTTTACCGTTATGAGCCCGTCAGTCTCACCACCAGTTCAACTGACCACCGGAACCAATGAATAATCATGTTTGGTAAAGGTAAAATTCGACCCCCCTCCCCCCACTCACACACGCCCATTTAACTAAGGACAACAATGGGCCTTTTAAAGGCGTCTTTCTCACATGATGTCAAGATCAACCCGATCGTGGCTCCTACAGAGAGTGGAGACCCTGGTTATTCGTAGAAGGTCAAGTAAGTTCCAAGATTGTGGGATCAAATGGACTTTCATTCATGTTTCGACCTTGGTAGTTGGTATTATTTGATTAGCTGAGTCGACTTTAGAATTCAAATCTGTCTCAATGCCGCACGTTTGGTTGGCTCCTTCAGTCTGTGACGTGCGATGACGTGTACACCAGATGTAGAGGGGATGGACGTAGGTCACCACGCCGAGGCAGACGCAGAAGATGCTGGTCTGAAACAGAGAGATCGTTGTTTTTGTTTTTGTAAGTGTTTTACGACACTTGCAACTGCGTAAAGTCGCATGAGCACGCGGGACACATTAAACTTTAGCTTGATATCGGAATTAATTTTGAATTTTGCCCGGTTGGCGGCCAAAGCCTACTCTTATCGATTTAAGGAGACAGGGAGAGAGAGAGAGAGAGAGAGAGAGAGAGAGAGAGAGAGAGAGAGAGAGAG